TATGTTAAGTCTATTCCTAGTCTTTGAGGAATCTCCAACTGTTTCCACAATGGCTGCACCAAACTGCTTTCCTACCAAAGTGTAGGAGGTTCTCTTTTCTCCACACCCTCTCTAGTATTTATCATTTGTGTACTGTTGAATGACGGCCATTCTGACTGGTGTAAGGTATGTTTAACCTTTTGAGGAATTGCCAGACTGTTTCCCAAAGTAGCTGCACCATTTTACATTATAACCAATAGTGTATAAGGGTTGTCTCTCCACATTCTTGATAACCCTTGTTATTGTCTTTCATTATAGCCATCCTAGTGGCTGTGAAGTGATTTTCACTGTGGTTTTGATTTGCATTTCCCTGATGACTCAAAATGTTAGCATCTTTTCCTGTGCTTATTGGTCATTAGTATGTCCCTCTTTGAAGAAATGTCTATCAGACCCCTTTTTCAGTTATTAATTGGGTTGTCTATTTATTATTGAGTTGTAAATGTTCTTTATATATTCTGGTTAAAATCCCTTATCAGATATATGATTTGTAACACAATTCTCATTTTTTACTGTCATTTAAAAAAAAGAAAAAGTTGGTCTTTCAGTTATCAGATATAAATACAACAATAATTTCAATGAAAAAAATTTTCCACAGCTTAGGTGTGAGGAAAAAGGTTTAAAACAAAACAAAATGCTCAAGTTGGTTGAATGAGCTGGACTTTGGTTGTTAAGATGTAAGCTTGAGGCAGTTTAGTCTAATAGCACCCAATGGCTGGCCTATGGGTCAGCTTATCTGAACCTATAAGGTTTGCTTTTTCTTATTTTGAAAAACAGATTCTCAAGCGTTATCTCAGACATACTGAGTCAGAATGCCCAGAGGAAAAGCCAGGGAACCAGTATTTAAAAAAAAAAAGTTTTGGGAACTATTCTTCCATAAATTACAGTGAAACAGGGCGTGACTACGCTTCTTGAGCAGGTAACTACCTCCTCCATCAAGTGGAAGAACAGCTAACATCTTGGACCCTAAGCAGGAAACTGGGAAAAGGCTGAAGGCAAACAGTCTGAACTGTGCGAAAAACATCAGGTTCACACCCCACATGACTTGTCAGTGAGGAGCAGGACTTAGTCCAGGGTGAGCTGGAAATACATGTGTTTAAAAATAACGAGGTCAAGTTCCTTTTCCAGCTGAGGTCTAGGCGGCCAACTTCAACCATTTTGGCTCCAGAGAGGGAGATTTAAGCAGCTTCTTCTAACCTAGGCAATCAGCTCCTTTACAGAGTAGCTACCACATTTATTGGTTCCCCATTTAAAATACTTTTCCAAAAACACGCAGTGAACCAGTCCATTCACTTTACCTTTCACCACCTTCGTATATCCATTAGCCACAGGAACGAGCCAAAGGGCAGGAGTGAGTTCACCATGCACTGTGCCCATCAGCGAGTGAGGAGAAGCAGGGAGAAGGAACAAGTTGAGGCCCCTTCCCCTCCCAACAATGATCAAAACACTGTGGATGGGCTGTGGGCCTGATTCTGCTCCACTGCCTGTCTGGCCAGTAGCTGTCCTATCTTGAATGACTCTTGGCATTAAGCAGAAGATGACAGAGCAACCTTGGGAAGTCTGCTGACAGAGTGCCTGACTTCATGAAAGAGGCTGCACACTGGTGACCTACTGTTTGCATATTTCTTACAAATCATTTTAAAAAAAGAATTAGTTGCTAGCTTTTAAGCATCAAAGGACTTCCTATAAAAATCAGAATTTCTATTTTATTTGAAAAATTTAAGACCTGCAACGCTGGACTTTCATTCTCACAGTGCCTGTTACTTACTACTATAATGCCTCATCTCTGAGGATGTGGGCTGGTCGCCAACAATCATCTTACATCAGTTTGCATCACTCTTTTACTTTACACGCACTGTTTATATTATCCACTTGGCTCCTGTAGACACATGAAATTACCACCTCCCCTCCCTCTCCTCATCACTGCCCATATCCACAGGATCCTTCAAGGTACTCCAATTGTCCTCCAAGGTCCAAAGGATTACACCCACATTTTCAGCATTGTTGGACTTGATGTGAGGAATGACAAGACAAAGATGTTGCTTTAGTTTACATTTGGAACAGCTAAAACATCTACTGGCTTATGGTCATATGGACATGATTCCAGATTTGGGGGATATATACCCACTCCTACCCTTTCATCCCATTAAAAGAAAAAGATAACATAGTAGACAGTGGTTGGGTCTACAGTAATTTTATTGTAACAGAGAAACCAGGCTGCAGTAAATCTACATGATTAGAGCAAATGGTGGTTAGCCTTCCAAAGAGTGAAGCTTGAGCCCAGCTGGCAGCACACAAAGGTTAAAACCAAAGCCCAGAATATCCTCTTTCCCAGGTCTACCCTGCACTGCCTGCCTCATGACGAGATACGTGACTGCACAACCACACTTAACAGAGTTACGAGGTCCAACTGGGCAGAGGCAACATCTCGAAGGGAGATAATTAAATAATCATCGAAGAGGATGCTGAAATAAAGTGCAGTTACCTACTCTCTGCTATTCTTTGCTGAGAAGAGCGAGGGTATGGGATGAGCAGTAAATAATGTTCTTCATTCTTCAAATAAGTCAATCCTATGGGATGGGACTGATGGTCAGTCATAGAGTGTAACAGGATGAAAATCTAGGCTAGGTATAGATCTTTGTGCCTAAGGAAAAGAACAGCAGTGATTAGGCAGAAGAGAGGAATATTAAAATGCAAGTATTAAAAAGGAGAGCTTTCTTTCTTTTTTTCTTAAATAAGACAGGAAACAGCATCTTTTATTTTCTCTGCGGCAGTGGTAGCAGATTGCCTGTAAAACATAATCTCTGTAATATGTTTGTTGATAAGGTTGTTCAGTCACAAACATGAGGCTGACTGTTAATGTTAGAACTAGGTCTTTTTACAAAGCCTCTAATAGGTGCTATTTTCTTGCTGGTTCTACAGAGGAACCCGTAACACCAAGAGGTGCTTCAGTTAAAGCTTCTGAAGTACTGCAATGGTGTGATGAACAACTTTTTTTGGGGGGGGGGCTTATGTCTTTCTCATATATGTAAACTCTGTTGAAAAAACAAGATAAAAGGATGAGGGAGATTTTGGTTTAGAGCCACAAAGTTCCAGACACCAGACACAGGTGCCTCTGCCCTATTTCACTGCACATTCTTTTCTGAGAAACACATTCAGTCTCTGAGTTTTAAGTACTGGTTGGAAAAACTGATCCGCTTGCCACCATCTTCCCTCCCTCTCCCTCCATGTGAATCTCACAACAGCACAGGCTGAAGACAGGAAGGTTGTCTCTGTTCCCTCTCACCGGGGGAATTACTTAGTGACCTGGTGAATGGCATGAGCAAGGTAGCCCACGTTGCCAGAGGTGACCCCTGCCACAGAGATGCGGCCATCCTTTGTCATGTAGATGGAGAACTCCTTGGTCAGCCGCTCCACCTGCAGAGAGAAGAGTGTGTGGGCACTTCCTGGTCAGGGGGGTCTGCCCGGCCCTGGCAAGGCACAATGAGCCAATAGGTTAGCACAGAAAAATAGCAGATGCTCGGTTTTTTCACTTGAACCCTATTCCCAGAATTTGGTGTGCTAGTTTACAAATCCACGTTTTTATGTGCAAGCACCAAATACAAGAACGTTTAAGTGGGTCAAATAAAACATGACAAAGACTCTTATTTGGCCTTTAAATTAGCAATTTGTAACCTCTGTGCTAACTCTGCATGACATCATCTAGGAGAGATGGTTTGGAAAGAGGACACGTAAGAACGTGGAGATAAACTATGTAAGTACCACGTGCTAACTGACTGCGCCACCGGAGCTTCGGGGGAGATAAACTGTAAATGTATCTACAGTCATCTTGGTGAGAGCCCACAAGAATTTCCCACGGGGCCACAGGAATGGAATGAAAGGGCAGATTCTGAGGAAGGGGAGGACTGTCCTGAATCCAGCGAGCCATGTGTAGTCAGAGGATTGCCTCCTCTGCTCCCCTAGATATGAAAGAATAAAAGAATGAAAGAACGAAAGAAGAATAAGAAGAATTTAAAAAAAGAAGAATAAAAAAGCTAGGCTGCTGAATTCTAAGGTGTGAACAGGTGAAAAAAATCTTAGAGTAAGCATCTGTAGAAAAACTGATCCAGAATCCAGGTACGGAACAGTTACTTCTCTTAATATTCAGGCTCCTCCTGCTTGTTCTGGGTTCTCTCATAGAAGCAGCAGTAGTTGTAAAAATGCTCAGAACAAGCTCTGTTCTTCAGAAGTCTGCGACCTCATAGAGGATACCGACAGGTAAACGATAAGCAAAGAAGAAAACGAAATGAATGCTTCACAATTCTTTGACCTAAGAGGGCTCCAAAATGACTGTTTTTAGAGTAATCCTAAATAAGGCAGGTGACCTCTGAAGAATTCTGGTTTGCAAGGACTGGTCAATCGGTCGGCTGCAGAGAAACTGGAGTCCACTCACCTGTTCAGGCTTCAGGCCTGTGAAACAAAACATGCCGATCTGGTCTACGATGTGCTGCCAGTTGTGGGAGGAGCCCTCCTTCTTAAGGTTGGAGACCAGCTGAGTCCGCATGCTAATGATGCGGTCAGCCATGCCCTTTACCTCTTGCAACCTTTAAAAAAAACAAAAAACAAAAAACCCGAGATGCAGCTCAGTTCTGGCCAAGCACTGACAGAAAGCCAGCTCCCAGCATTTTTACCTCCCTTGAGTACTCCCCTGGTGTGCCTCAATTACCTATTCTTGACCGAGTCACGTGTTGCCACTGGTCCGGGAAGAAAGCTATTTTGTAGCACTCTGTTTTATATCAGAACACTATTTTGATCAGGCAACTAAAATCATTAACATAATTGAGTTATTAAGAAAAATGAATGGGAAGTGCCTTTCTATTTACTAGATGGATGCTGTCCAACCCATGAATTATTTAATAAAGCCAATTAGATTTTCAAATTAAAAAAAGGAAAAAGAAAAGAATAAATCACTCTAAAACTTAGGAGGGCGAAGGCGAGAAAGGGCAAAAGCTGCGGATTAAACAGTAAAACATGATCTTATTCTTTAATATGGGTGGAAGAAACATTCTTGCTTTCACAATTAAGACAAGGCACAGTGAACCTCCAGTGTGCCCAGCCATGTGCCAAGGGCTGAGGAGAAGGAGGACTGAGACCTGGTCCTTGCCTCTCAAAGCTTACCATTGAGGCTGGGAGCAAACCTGTAAACAATCAACTATGGAACAAGGCAGAACAAGCTAAGAAAATAGAATCGTGCTGTGCTGAGAGTCCCAAGAAGAGAGGGTTAATTCTATCTGGGGGAGCAGAGGAGGCAATCCTCTGACTACACATGGCTCGCTGGATTCAGAACAGTCTTCCCCTTCCTCCAAATCTACCTTTTCATTCCATTCCTGTGGCCCCGTGGGAAATTCTTGTGGGCTCTCACCAAGATGACTGTAGATACATTTACAGTTTATCTCCCTGTTCTTACGTGTTCACTTTCCAAACCATCTCTCCTAGATGATGTCATGCAGATTTAGCACAGAGGTTACAGATTGCCAATTAAAGGCCAAATAAGAGTCTTATTTTGTTTTATTTGACCCAGTTAAACATTCTTAAATTCAGTGCTTGTACATAAAAAAGGTGAATTTGTAGCCTCTTGAAAAATGAGAAGCTGGTGACACTGTACCAGCAGGGCGATTACTGGCTGAAGCTAGAGCCCCTGACCCCACTAAAGGATATCATTTGACTTTAAACTCCCTGTAGTCCCATCCATCCAGCGCCATCCACTGAGGCCTGGGCCCTAAAGGCACTGAGTACATGACCGTGGCTAGATCTGGGGCCACCTTACAACCACTGCCCTCCTTCATGCCCCTTGTTGATCACAGAACGAATTTCTGACTTCTCACAATATCAAGGTGCTTCATGATCTGCTCCCACTTTCCCATTTTTGCTGCCTTCTCTACCCTCCTCAAACTCAGTGTTTCTGCCATAAGAACCACTTGGGATGTTCAAAGCACACCCTGCATGATACACATCATGTGCCTGTGCTGTCCTCATGCATGTCTCTGTCCGGTTTTCCTCTCCCCTTCGTTTCCTTTGGAGAAAAGTGCTTTCTTTCTTGAAGGCACAGCTCAAATGCTGCTGTCTGCATTACATCCTCCCTAATTCCCCACTAATCAATAGCTATCTTCCTTTACTCAGCATTTATTCCATCTGTCTTGTATCAACACCATACGTGTATCTTTCTCACTAGGTTATAAACTCCCCAAGGGGAGAGACATCTTAGTCACCTAGCACTGTGTCTCTGTCATCTTTGAACATGACAGGCTTGAAATGAGTACTGAAATGGACATATTAAAAAAAAATCTTGATTATCATTAAGGACTATGGAAATGTAAAAAAAAACACTTAAAAATATTAACTACAAAAAAAAGAGCTTAGTATAATTCTTAGTGACAAAAACAAAACCAACTCTACACATACATATATAACAGAATGTAATATAACATATTACAACTAGGAATAATAACGAGCAAAGAAAAAAGAGGTGGGTTATAGTGACTTTCCGAAACTTTCTCAAATGTACTTAGACATTGATTTTACAACAGAAAAAAATAAAATTCTAATTTAAATAACTGTTGTGTTTTTTTCGGTAGGCCTAGCATGGCTCTCTTGTACTGAAAAGAAATATCCTCAACTAGACTCTGACTATTTCACTTCAGTGTTCAGAGGATTAATTTAAGGTAGAAAAAATAGTTGTCACATGATTTCTAGGTGAGCTGCGGATGAAGTTTCTTACAGACTTAGCTTTTCTATCCAATAAGCTTCTTAGAGATGTGGCCCCTCAGCTAATCAGCTATACAGGATAAACTCTTATATAACAAAACACATCTTCCATAGGCATCTTGGCTTTTTCTTAACTCTGAATTACATATAGCAAGGGTTTGCAAGCTTTCTCTAAAGGGCCAAATCGTAAATACGCTAAGTTTTGTGGGCTGTATGTTCTCTGTCAAAACTACTGAACCCTGTCATTATGACATGAAAGAGTCCATACACAATTCATCAAGAAATGGGTATGGCTGTGTTCCAGTAACATGTTATTTATAAGAACTGGTGGCAAAACATAGCTTGCCAACTCCTGATCTAAAGCAGTGTTTTCTAAATTGTGTATCATCACCCATTATTAGGTCACAAATTCAATATAGCTGGATGCAACTGGCATTTGAAAAATACTGGAGTACAGCTCATGAAGCCCAAGTACTGAGTTTTGAAACTGCTTCAGCTATATATATATACATACATAGGTAATGTATGTTCAGGGTCATGATGTAAAATATAAGCTTTATGTGGATTGTGGTTAAAAAAAAATTGAGTAACACTAATTTATAGCACAAGTACCAAGACGTTCAGATAGTATAGATAATGAAAATGAAAAATATGCAGAAATACTGATTCAATGCTAGTTATTATTAGGATAAATGTAAAAAATACATAGGAAAGTTTTCCTATGTAAGATACCTCAGTTTGAACTTAGGTCTAGAAGGCAGGTTTTACTTAACATGGAGATGACAGATGAAAAGGAACTGCCATTTCTGAATTGTTTCTTACAGGGAAAGACCAACTTATCTGTTTGAAAGTGCTAAGATGCATACTCCTCTCTCCTTCCTCCCCGTCCACATAAGGAAGCTGTGTGATACTGTACGTCCCTATAAGCCAACCATCAAGGAGCTTTGAAGGATCAGTGGTGCAAAAAGCAGATGGCTGGGGAGTGGCAAAGTGCCTTTACCATTGCTTCCGCAAATCCGGGCTGGTCAGAATGGTGGAGGCAATCCGGGCTCCATTGAGGGGAGGGTTGGAATACATGGGACGGATCAGGATCTTCAACTGTGACTCCACTCTTTTGGCTTCATCAGAATCTTTGCAGACCACAGTGAAGGCTCCCACACGCTCACCTGAAAAGATAAAATGGATCTTGTCTTCTGGTTCTTTTATCTAAAATGCTAAAGACAATCATGATTACATTTGCTACACATTATCTGCTTCCATCAGATGCACCACAAAAATAACTCTTCGTTATAAGTAAGTGTTCAACAAGCAGAATGGTGAATCTAGGCACAATAGAAAATCTGAGTACTCCAGAGTGGTCAGAGGTCTCTTTTCATTGTATCCATCTTCTGGCTCATTAGAGAAGCAGTGATCAGTTTCCTTTGCTGGAGGAATTCAGGGACTCTAAAGGAAATATGGCTAAGAGCAGTAAAAATCCACTTGACCCATCTTTCCTCTCTGGGTAAGAAGGACATGGATGACGCATACACAGACACACCCCAAACTCTGCACGTTTGTGGCATCCTCTCCCAGCACTTCTTCAATCTCAACAGAACACACATCACGAGGGTCTTGTAGCTTACCATATAAGCCCATGTTCTTGGCATAGGACTGGCAGAGACAAACATTGATGCCCTGTTCGATAAAGTGGCGCACAGCCCAAGCATCCTTGTTACCGTCGCCACTGGCAAAGCCTTGGTAGGCCATGTCAAAGAACGCAAAGAGATTGTTTTTCTGGGAAGAAAAGAAAAGATGGCCAAAGCTTTAGGCAGTCCCTCTCAAGATGCCCCAGATGGTTACCTGAACTTATTGGGTGGGACCTTGCCTGCTCCACACAGTCAAGAGTTTTCTCCCCATATAGCAGTTTGGAGATATTTAATTTTCCGAGAGTTAAGATATCAAAATCTTTTTAACTTTGGTGGATATGGGCCTTCAAGAAGACATTCAGAAAAGGTAATTTTAATCCAATCTGCGCAGGATGCTGCTTGGTCAAACAGGAAGCTCTTCTAAGGCCCACAGGAGTCTGGGTAACTATTTTGATCCTGCCAACACAGGACCAGCCTCAGCCTCTACTGGAGCTGACATGACTCTGGCAGATCATCTTATTCCCAGGGCTCATGGGATAGCCTCTTAATAACCATCTCATCTTTAAAGTGCTCTCTGAACGCTGTTTCTCTGTCTCATTCTGCTCGCAGCTCAGGAATGTAAAAGGGAAACCAAAAGGAGTGAGAATGGGGATAGGAGGCAACAGAAATATCTTTCTCCTTAGGAATTTTGGCTAGTGCCTTCTCTCACAGAGAAACAAAAATCGCTGTGAATGATAACAGCAATGCTGAGGAGAGTGGCAAAGACAGGAGGGGACGTAAAAAAGTGGATAAAAGGATGCACAAGCTGGGGGGAGGGTATAGCTCAGTGGGTAGAGTGCATGCTTAGCATGCAGGAGGTCATGGGTTCCATCCCCAGTACCTCTGTTAAAATAGTCATAATAATAATTAATAAATAAACAAACCTAATTACCTCCTCCCCAAGACAAAAAAAAAAAAGCAAATATAAGAGCAATAGATAAAACAGATTAAAAAGAGTCATTAAAAAAAAAAAAAAAAAAGATGGACAAGTAACCACTGACCAGGGCAAATGTAGGCCCCAAAAGCAGACATCCTAGGGCCGGTGGATGCTGACTGTGCTGAGTAGCCAGTGACAAGTTTTATCAGAGTTTCATACATCTTGGCTGAGGAACAAGAATTATTTTAAAACTGCTCATGTATCATGAACTAGAACTGCTAATTATGCAAACGAGCAGTGTTTTCCTGGCAACTTCACAATGCATGGAAATTTTATGCAGCCTCAAGGTTAATTCTCACTGTAAGACTTTGCCAAGTGAAGCATCCAATGCTAGCTATTAAGCATGGAACCGTTGCTGGTCAGTTCACCGCCCTACCTTCACCACTGCCGCCATCTCCTTCCACTGCTCAGGACGAGGGTCCACTCCTGTGGGATTGTGGGCACAGGCATGCAGGAGAAGAACACTCTGCGCTGGTATTTTCTAAAGTGAAAAACAACAGATTACTTTGTAGCTTTAGGAGATCATTTACCTGAAATGCCACAGGGTCACTATTATTTGATAAGTAACAAAGATAACCTGAGGTCTGGGAATCAGCTCATCCCCACTATTTCTTTTTTTTTAATGGAGGTACTGGACCTCATGCATGCTAAGCATGCTCTCTACCACTGAGCTATACCTCCCCCTAATCCCGTTTTAGTTCTAATATTGAGACCTAGCTGACATACATCAAATTCTTACAAGGAGGTTTATTCCTGTTCCTTCACCCCTCCTGCCCAGAAAGCCACACTCACTGAAATGTCCTCCATAGCGCCTGTGAAGTCGAAGCCGCATGTCTTGGGGTCATAGTATCGATAACTGTGTAGCTGCATGCCAGCGTCCCTGAAGATAGGTGTGTGATTTCCCCAGGATGGTTTGGGCAGAAAGACATCTCGGCTGAACTTAAAAAATCTTTGCTAAAAGATGAGAAGAAACCGAATGGAAAAGTGAAGCAAGGAGAGGGGAAAAAAGTTGATATATTTTACTGATAGGACATTTTTTTCCTGCTGAAACTCAGCTTGTCTCTATGATTGAGAGACAGTATTGACTGAGTGGCGAGACTGCCTGGGTTGGAATCCAGGCTCTGACAATTATACTGGTTGTGTAGCCAAGGACCTATTTGAGCCTTACTGTCTTCTTTTGTAAAATGGCATTAATTGCACCTCCCTCATAAAGATTAAATGAGTTAAAATATAAAAGCTCCTAGTTTTAGTAGGTGCTCAATAAGTTGTATTTAATATTATTATATTATTTTAATATTATTATTATTACAATCTCTTATTTATAATTTCTTCTAAGTACTTTCATTTTTTCCCCCCAATTTCATTTATCAAAGAACAGGAAACTTCCAGCTTTGTAGAAAGAGGAAATCTATTTCAAGGTCAGAAGTCAAATACATACGCAATAGGGAACCCCATTATCTCAACTTACAGACTATCTTACCGCTCCTTCCTGGACCCAGACTCACCAGAAAATTGGCTCCGATCCTTAAGGCTCCAGTTCCAGAAATGGTCTGCACCGTGACATACTGAAGGAGAGACACCCCGGGTCAGTGAGGTACAACACTCTCTCTACAGGCCCTGAGCGCTGTAAACCTGAGCTCCAGTCCACAGAGAGGCACACCCTTCCCTCTTTAGGAGCTGAAGACACCCTTCCAAATGAATATTTAGAAATGCGAGAACAGCACTATTGTTTCATTCCATTTTCTAAGAGACAGACTGACTCTCCTCATGGGTTCTTAAGAGAGCTGTCTCATCAGTTTCCAACATCTTTGCTGACGTGGAAGCTGATTCCTTATGGCCCATTGTTAGTATCGCGCTGAGTTATATGAGAAACTCTCAGGATACAATCCCCCACCAGATACGAAAAAGGACTGATTAATAAATAGGAAAAAAGACATGACAGTCACTACATTAAAATATTATTCTAGAATTATGCAAAATTGAATGATTCTCTGAACACCAAAAAGCAAGTCATCTTGAAAAGTCAACAAGTATATTAGAATAACACTGTTATACTTTGAAGGCTAAGAGGTCCCCTTCTGTAAATTTCCATAATCTGAAAATATTATCTTTTGGGTAACAGGGAGATGCCTGAGGAAAATCTGTTTCTTCAAACTGGTCAGCTTTAGGGGATGAGCAAGAAACCACAGCAGGTTTTGTGTTTCTTTAAGGTACCATAGCAGCACAGGCTCTACAAAACCTAAATCTGCTTTGTGGACTGGGAGGCAGTGGATTAAATGGGGAGAACCCAACTAACAAACTCTTTAGTAAACAAAGTTTGTCTGTGCAAACTCTGGCAAGATAGAAATAAAAACTTAACTGTAGATCTGACAGTAAGATTCACCAATGTACAGCAATTTATAAAAGACAAGTTGATGTTATTTTAAGATAGGCCAGTCTTATACTTAGATTACAATTTGCTAGATGGACACAGACTAAGCAAAAATTACAGAAAAATGCTGACTTTTTCCTGAGGGTTCATAGGTGGTTGATTGTATGGACATCAATCAAATCTGTGACTTAGGATCATTATTACATTACCCTAGGGTTGAGGCTGTATGCTCTTCTCTGAGTTAATGATCTAATGTGTGGACTTAGACCAGCCTTGTGAATAAACTATTTATTTTGGCCTTGGGAGTGGGGAGGGGAGAAGTGTTAGCTAAGTTTTGCTACTTTGTGAGTTTTCCCCCAGACTTATCTGGAAAAATAAATATTTAAACATATATAAGCATCCATTAAAAAACACGTTTGTTTAGAAGGGTAGAGGGTATAGCTCAGCAGTAGTGCGTGCTTGGTGTGCACAAGGTCCTGGGTTCAATCCCCAGTGCCTCTATTACGGGGGGAAGAATCCATTTCCAAAGAAAGTAAATTATAATGTACATGAACTCACATGTCAGGCTGGCTATTCAGTGGTCTGGCTGCATCCCACCCACATGATGCTAGTCTTCTACTACGAGCGCTGGGCCTGCATATACTCTGTGGGTGCATACAGGAATCTTTTTGTAAAAACCTTAGGTCTAGTGATCTCTAGGGCCTCTTTCGTCCACAATAAGAGGGTCCCCTGGGAGCTGGAAGGAGGAGACACCTAGGAGCCGCTTGTCTTTCCCCTCACGGCAGCAGGGATGCTCTCTGCCCTCTGAAGGGGGAGGGAGCATGCATGGTCTACTCCCTTTCAATGTCCAGGCTGGCAATGAGGGGGCAGCAGAGGAATGCCAGACTTGTCCTGGCCCCACCAGTGGTTTGTTTTCTGACTGCTTCCTCCATCTGAGCTGGAAGCTTGGGGAAGGAGGGCAGGGGCTAATTACAGGCTTTGAAACTTGGCACAGTTTGGCATTCCTAAAAGCATTTATTCAGTGTAAAATGAACATAAGCACACAGAGATGAACAGCAAAAGCAATGTCAGCTCTTCAGTAAAATCACTACTACATTTTCAGGATTACTACTACATTTTTGGAATTGGTATTATATGAACTCTTTCACTTAATCAGTGCCAATTTACTATCTAAAGAAGAGATATTAGGAATAGCGTGGCCACCTCAAAACAATCATCCCACACAAAGTGATGTATCCTTCCTCATTTGCTTAAATTATTTCCAATTTGTTTAAACTGTTCAATTTGAAACAGACCCTGTATGATGCCAGAGCCTGCTCTGCTTACCCGGCCACTTTTCAACACTTCGCTGTTCTCACCCAGGGCTAATTCGGCAGATGCCTTACAAAATTCAGCCAGTCCTGCAATGGGCAGGTATTCTTTGTCCAAATGTTTTGCAGCAATCTGGGCCTCTGCCTAGACAAGAGAAAATGCATCCATTTAGATTCTTCTCCTTACCTGGAATTACTGTGAATAACACTTAATGTTTTATAAGTTACATTTTAGAAGTTACATTTTAGCCTTGTTTTTTATTTAGAGATACTGTCCAAGAAGATGATGGGTAAGTAAGTACATTTTATAGTGCAGAGAAGAAACGGTAACAAAATTTTTATCATATTTTATTTTTTTAAAGTTAGGTTTTATGTAAATTGGTATATAATGTCTCTTGGTTACCATGTAACATAAAATGGTATTCTTGGGATGCACAAGAACAAACTTTAAGAGCAGTACTTAAAATAGGTATAAGAGATAAAATCAAATTAAATATACAAAGAAGTATTTTAAGGTATATGCCACTTTAAGAATTTCAAAGGTTTAGTAGTAATAGCACATATCTTCATGCTTTGCAGTCAGAGACCTGGCTGTCCCTTACTGTGTGACTCTGGGCAATTTATTAACCTTCCTGAGTCTCAGTTTGTTCATCTGTTGAATGGGGAACAGCTGTTTCTACCCTTCATATGATTGAGGTGAAGAGTTGATGAGGTAATGTACAGAAGTGTGTGGTGGTGTTCCAGCTTGTACCAATGGCTAACACATGCCACATACTTTAAACTGACTTACTGACACCAAAAGCAATCCCTACATGACCTGAGACCCAGGAGCTGGCAATTTTTCATCAGTCTTCTCATCACAACCATTTTTTGAGTCCTGTTTTTTCTATTCTAAGAGAGATGTGACCTAATTCACACTCCCATGCACTCAGAAATTTCTCCTTGCAGTGGTTCATTCAGCCCATGGTCGATCACTGCAGTGGCTCATTAAAAGCCTGAGCCAGCCTACTGCATAGTGTACAGCTCAGTGTACAGGGTTCTCTACTCCCACTCAAAAGTATGCTCCTGTAATTTCCACTCAGGATGCCTAATTCTGCTGTACGGAGGAACAACACATCATCACCCCGCTTTTGGAAACGACAGAGCAGCACATTCATATTTCATCAGAGAGGGTGTAGCTGAAAAGGAAACATTAACTTACTTTCAAAAAATTGTTCTAAGGGAATTAACTATATTATTTACAGTTATGATAACCAACAGACTACTACTAACAAAAATAACACAAAATGAAGAAAATTACTCTATAGTTCAACAGAAAGGACAGAGTATGCCTGGATAGGATGGCTTTATTAAGGTGATCAAAATCAGAAATGCAAAATAACAACAGTAATCCCCATCCTCAAAGGATTAATTCTGCCACCAAGAGACAATGTGTAAATTCTTGGTCATTTTCTACACCCTGAGGATTAAATATGACACTATGTCTGTTTTATAGATAATCACAGAAGTTCAATCCTGGAAAAGACCACATAGTTCCAACCCGACACTTTTACAGCCAAGGAGACTACAGCCCAGACAACCTAAGTGATTCAAGCAGTTAGTATCAGAACTAGAACCCAGGTTTCCTGGCTCCCAGTATGACAGTCTTTCTGTGTCTCTTCAGGGGCACCCTTCAGTTACTCATCCCCATCAAACAGGAGATGTCTGGCACACTTACCTTCCGGACACTAGGGAGCACATAAGGCTTTCCATTATCATCCCGGTAGGCACCAACTCCCAGATTCATCTTTTTGCTGTTGGTGTCTCTCTTATAGGCTTCTGTGACTCCCAGGATGGGATCTGGGGGCCCCATCTCCACATGAGCCCACCAGGAGCTGGAATGGAAAATAGAAGACATCAGTCACAGTAACTAGATTTCCATGACCAGAGGTGTACTGGTTCTGCCGAAACTCCATTTCAACAAATGTTTGCATGTTTACTATGCACAGGGTATAGCAATAAGCACTGATAATCCAACAATGCATAAGGCTTCAGAGCACATTGTAGAGGAGTGAAGACCAATATATTAATACAAATGCGATGAGAAGCAGAACACCTGAATCATCCTGGGGAGGACACGGTGCACGTGTGAGCAGTTCAAACCTGATCTGAAATCCCAGGCAAAGGATATTTCAAGTAATTTGGCAATGAGAAGCTGTGAGTGGTAAAAGATGATGCTGAAGAAGTAGGCAAGGGCCAATGCGAGAGTATTACGTGACCACCCCTGCCACCCCTCGCCTCGGCCCTCCAAGGAGATTGAGTTTTATCCTGTTTCCAAACTTATTGAGGGCATCCTTTGGAGAGTGTGTTAAAAATACAGGTTCCTGGGCTCTACTTTGGATGTAGTTTACTGAAAAATCTGGTTCTTACCCAGCAAGATACAGAGATAAGGGCTTGAACCAGGGTACGGGGTAGTAGGGGTGGAGAGGACAGAGAATTGCTAGGTATTTGCAACTGAATGTAACATCTTACTGATTTCCTCGTTACTTATTGAGTTAAAACGTTTGACAAGGTTCATTATTTTATATTTGTAAGAGTCAAGATTTCCCCTTAAAAAATTATTGCTTAACAGGGTTAGGGGTCATCCACTGATGTCCAATGGACTTACCTGGTGGGGCCAAGTGAACTGTGTTGCTAGGGGAGTGCACTCCTGAGTGAATCCCAAGAGGCAGTATAACTTTAACTGTTTCTCTAGCTTGTTCCCCACTCCCTACTGATATGAGGGTCTGGTTGACTTATGGCCAATAAGCTAGTCCCTGTTGGCAGCAGACTGTGAATTTGGTCTTATGCTGTGACCATTCAGTGATCTCTGTAAATGGATAGCAGAGATCTGTTCTTTGTTGAGATGACAGATAATCTGGTTTGTTGTTTTTTTCAATCTTTCTCATCAGAGCTATGAGATTGTGTGTTTACTCTTTACCTATGGCTGAAGCTGTAGATCTGAAGAGCTATAAGCTCTCTATGTATAATTTTCAGAAAGGCTTTTTTTTTTTTTGGTTTTACCCCTTTGGGTGTCTGAATGTGAAATATCTTCTATCTCAGAGAGTAGTGATAAATTATCAAAAATCCTCAAATTAAAGGTGCTCTGTCTGATTGTTACAGAAACTGAATTTCTAGTGCTTAAAATGTGCTAGATTTAATTTTTTTCCTTAAAGAGATGAACTCAGAAACATTTAAAAATTCAAGTTCATATAAACCTCTGATAAATAAAACTAGTTTAATTTTGAATAAAAAAACAGCTATATCTTTTATATATTCATATAAAGCATCTTTTATTTATTTTATTCTTTGAGGGTCTGTTTTTCCTAAACTTATACTGGTTCACTAATAAAATAAGCTAACATTTCTCATATGTAATGTTT